AAAATCATCCGCCATTGCATCAAAATTAAGAGATGAAGAGAGGGGAGTTAGGGTTTCAAAAACAATCGTTGTCCTTTCGATTTCTTAGTGGATGGGGGTCGCTATTGGAGGGTGATGCAGTGGCGGGGGATGGGCTGTCAATTTTCACTGGTTATTTTGCGATGATTTAAGGTTGGTTCTTCGTCGAGAAAGAGAGAGAGCGTTGGGAGCGCTAGTGCAGAGGACGATGAAGATTAGGGTTGGTATTAGGAGAAGGCGTGGGTTTAGGTTTCAGTTTGTGATAAAGAGAGTGGCAAAATAGTTTTTTGTCCATGTAATAAAACCAAATATTAGGGGTGTGTGTAATTTATCAAAAAAATTCACATGGCTTGAACTTTTTATAAGTTTTTGGACAATTTATAGGAAGTCACACATTAGTTTTTTGGCTGATTTTCTCAGCAACAACTCATTTGAAAAGAAAGATTGTAAGTTGTAACAAACAAGATATAGAGGGTTGGCACAAAAAGTACAATACCAACAAGAAAATCGTCTATTAAACTATTGCACCAAGGAAATTTAAGCAATGAGGAATTTAAAGGATAGGATTAAACTATGATCCAACAACCATGGATAGTCAAGAGGATGAAGTTGAAATCGAGTTCAAGTAATGTGGAATTTACTTGGTTCTAAAATAGTTTAATTTCACAAGCACTTGCAAAAGAGTATAGAAATATATACTCTTCACCTGGGATGCTCTACATCAGTGACACATGGGTGGATTGAAGAAGCAAAGACAACTTCCATATCCGCAAGATGTAATCCTTTATGTCCTGGCCTACATATGGTGTTTGATGCCTTTAGAATAAATAAAGGGAATGATGCCTCTAGATTTCATCTTTACGGATACATCTAATGTGTTTTCATCTTTACGGACAATTCACACCAAGGACTACCTGTTTTCCCAACTAGCAAATTCAAAACCAGTTCAGATACCTCAAAATCACAAAGGCTTTTAAGCACATATTTTGCCATGATCAATCAAGATATGATCATGGGTTATATCCACAGAATGAAATGGCAAAGAAAACAGTGGAAGTCTTCCTTCAAAAACAATACTGCCAGTCACAATGTCAATAGCTTTGATTAATTTGCTATGTTAATTTCAAGGAAGGGGCATATAAAAATACATTCTTCAAAGGGATTCTTTTATCTGATATTCAAATTCAACTTTTCTTTCTTCAATATTGCATATGCACATGCACTTTGAGTAGTTTTCAAGGCATTTTAACATCATAAACCACTTACAACAATGTTCTTGAACTTAATGTAATATAAAACATTCTTTATTCAAGATAAACAGTCCGTAGTTGTAGAATAATCCCCAAAACATATAGTTATGTTGGAATAATATTGTTACAATAAAACAAGCATAAATTGAAGAGAAATAAGGGACATCTTCTTTTTTTTAAAGGTGCAATAGATAATGTCTATCCACATTTTTCTTTGCATCACGAAGACAATGGCAGTTGAGCACATCATTGACTGACTGGCATCAAATATCATTCCGCTGTAATTTGGCTCAGGTGTTCGATTAAGTCCAGAGCTCATTCCCTTGTAATTTTGTCAATTAAATGCTAAAAGCAATTCATATTCCTGATTTGGAATCATAACCATTACAGTTAGATTCTCCAACTACCATTATGCAAACATGTGCTTCAGTTGGAAAAACAAATCATATTTTTCTGAAGATACGATTTTAGTTGGATTGCACTGGGAGTTGAAGGGTTTTGCAAGATTTTTAATCCCAACTAATCTTTCTTTTTTGTTCAACCCAACTGGTCTGTCTAAGTAGTACCAAATTTCTCAACTTCTTTAGAATCAAATCAGATATCATTTGAAGTAGCATTTAAGCTAAATTTTCTCAAAGTTTCTTTGATACAAGCAATTCCCACCCCTGTAAGGAAACACGCTATCTAAGCTAAGCAAAATAACTTTTGACATTTATTTGTTCCAACAGTACAAAATCAACAATATTAGTGTTGCCACATCACTGAAAAAGGACTCCTAACAACATGGCTCTCACTTTCCCATGAAATGGACCCAAAAGCCATTTGTTCCACAGTGGTACTTCTATTATTGAAGACATTGTTGCTCTTGAATCTAACTCTATAGCTTTGCTTCTCGAAGGATTTTTTGAACATCAACTTCTGTGGTTTCACACTTGCATTTACCTTTTTAACTTCATGATGGCCAATTCCAACTTTGTACACTTCTGGCAAAAGCTCCCCAACATTGGTCACTGTTCTCTATAACTCTTGAACAGAGCTGTTAGGCTTGAATACCAGGAAAATGATGGATAGTTAAGATCTCCTAGAGAACCTGCAGATCCTGAGCAAGGTTTTGATGCCTCTACAAAATATTTCATCTACTTTTTGGTGAAGTTCAAACTGCATGACTTGATACAAAATATTTACACTCAAGTGCAGATGGTCAAGTTGTAGTTATAATTCAGTTAAATCTGGAGTCGAATCCAAAGGGAACTATTGTTGGTATTTTGAAGTAAATAGTGACAGAGACCAAAGTAACTGGAACCTTTGAAATTTGAAGTTATGATGATTGTAGAATTTTCTAGACAAAATATTATATTCTCTTAAATGAAAAAATTCACCCATTAGTTTAAGGATCTGGACATGTAGTCAATCATCTGGTTGTTATACTTGCGCTTGACAACTCAACTAACCTCTGTGTCAATAGCAAGTTAATTGGAGGATATAGATGGACTGTGAGAATTAAGAGAATGGTTTCAATATCTTTGTAGAGATTTACAAGAATTTTCAGTGTCGTGGCTCAATCCGTCTACAAACAAGCAAATAATTCTACAAATCATCCAACCACTATGATATTATTCCATTCTTAGTTAAAACACAATAATAGTGAAGATTGAAATGCTGTCATGAAGATCTAACTTGAGTACTTGCAAAGAACCAATGAATCCTACTATGCCAAGAGTTAACTTGTCATAGAAAGGACTCATGATTGTACAAAGTACTTTAACTTTGCTAGATGCATTCAATCATTCAAAAAACAATCAAAAGATAAAGCATTAAGCATAAATGAAATACAAAAATATAACTTTCGAATGATTTATACATGTCCATTACCTCTTATTAAAGAGTGAATGAGAAACTATTCACTCTTTATGGTTTTGAGAAAGCTAGAAAAGTGAGTGATCCTCATCCCTCCAAGTAGAGGAGTTACAAGATAAAATACACTACACAATAAGCTTATCTTCGACGAAGAATGCGTGAATCATTACCCACCCTTCAAAGCTACAAGACAGCTAGAAAGGTGAGAGTTTCACTCCTCTAAGTGAAGAAAGAAGCTTTTACAATGTAAGCTAATGAAAATAATAATGCAAGTAGAAGAAAACTAGTTACTTTTGGAGGGTTTCTTCCTCTTCCAAAAGATGATCTTTAACAAGTTCAAAAGGAAGGGATTAATAGGCAAGGAAGAGGGGATAAAAGGAGAGTAAAAGAATAGTTTTAGGTGCTTAAAGTTCAAGTGAATGCCCCAAAATCTGAATAGAGATCACATCTTCCTGATGCCTTTCTGGGATTTGCGTTCGAACGTTGTTGACATTCGAATGCGGAAGTCTGTCTTCTTTGATGAGCGTTCGAACGCTGTTAGAGTTTGAACATGATACTCAAGTAGTTTTTGTCCTCCAATGTTAATTGCTGCAACAGGCCATGTTTCATCACCCTAACAATCTCCAAGGGCCCTCAATTATTTTAAAATGGTGTTCGAAAGTGAATTGACATTCGAACGTGGATGCTTTGCTTCCTCCTTGTCCAAGTCTCTTCCAGAACACGTGGGTTTCCTGAAATGTTATCATTTAAACTCCATCAAAGCATAATTAGTCTTGTAAAAGCATAGTAAGTTGTTAATTTTAACTATGCATAACTGCACAAAAACCTGATGTAATATGATATATCTGCATTGTAAATTAGCCCTGAATCTAAAGCCAATTGGGGATTAACATGTGCAGCTCTGATGCTAAGTGTAGTTGTAGGCTTCAAATCGGCATATCTAGCAATCAAACGAAACTTATTGTTAGTTACTGTGGAGGTGGTCATGAGAGCTGACCTAACTACTACCGGGGACCAATTGGGGTGAGTAGCATGGAGCAATGCAGTAACATGTGGGCAAGACATTGATGTTCCAGAATTTGTATTGAACTTCAGTCGCCTTGTTGCAATGCCGCACAAGCTTATACATGCCAATCCTGGCATTTGTTGCAATGCCTCTAGTAGTGCCGTTAGCAAAACCAAATACATTAGCATTGGCAATCTTGGATCTTGTTGCTGTTGAAGTAGTATGTGTGCCATGTCCAACTCCATCGCGCGGAGATTGATAATCTCCCAGGGCCAGCCCAACAGTATGAAAAAAAAGAAAGCATGAGTTTTAGGCCCCAAATTTTTAGAAGGTCCCATAATCTTAGGTATATCACTAGCCCACAAAAAAATTAAATCCATTAAATTTTAAGCCCTACAAAAAAAAACCCCAAAAATTTAAATCCAATCAAAATTTTATTGCAATAATTTGTGTTTGTAATCCAATCCATAACATTAAAAACTCCCACCTACTTTCTCTCTCTCTCTCTCTCTCTCTCTCTCTCTCTCTCTCTTTGGTAAAAAAAATAAAAAACAACAACAAAAATTGAAATTAAACACTCTCTCTCCTTCTCTGTGGAAAAAACAAAAAGAAAAGTTGAAATCTCTTTCTTGACAATGATAACACATCCTTCTTTTATCTTCCTCTCACATAGAAAATTAAAAATAAATTAATTTTTTTAAAAATAATATTAAAAATAAAAAAACCTCCGTTTAATATTTCTGTTTTAGACCTCAAATTGGCTTGAACCGCCAAGTCCTTCCAATGATTTGTCAGTCATGTAGTGCTCCATGCCCTTGAGGAAGAACCTTGCACCAATGAGTTTCCTGTTACAATGACTAGAATTGAATTCAGTCCTGTTCACATGCACCTTTCCACCTAGAGGGTATTGGCCGAATCACAATGTCATTCAAGCTATCACTCTCTGGCAAAATTCCAGAATCCACTAGGCCAATTATACCATTCTCACCAAAGTTGGTCTCTGGCCACGGGCCATAGTCCAAATTCAGACCATGAAATTCTAGGGAACGGGTAGTGTCTAACTTTACTGCGACCTTGTCTGCTAAAATAGCCAAAACTCCCGGCACTTTGGTGAACTTTTTAGCTTCTTTATTTGTCAATCTTGCGACAAAGCCATGAAAGACTACATCGTATCTATAGAAAATTCGAGAAGAGAATTTTCTAATTTTATATTCTTACTTATTGTTTATTATGCGTCTTAAATACTTCCACTATTCAAATCAAGAAGTTGCAATTGGTCAAATGATACAGAGAAATCACTTTAAGTCACATTGAACCTTATGCTACTGCTTTTCTCTTTGCCTAAAATTCCCCATAGATTCTATTTTTCTTGTCTTCTTCCCATTGCTTCATCCATTTCTGTTTCAAGCCTCCCAGTAGCAAACATACACATGTTTTTTTAGCGTAATCAACTGAGATCACTATGTTAGTGTGGATTAGCCGTCTGCACCTGTATTCACTATATAACCTTTGCAACATTTTTTTTGGTTGTGAGAAATCGTTCCAATTATGTGTCCTTTCAAATTTTATTCAGACAAGAATTCTAACTTAGGATGTGCAAGTTTACATCAAATCTGCCCCTTACTTAACCGATTTGCCCGAATAACTGAGCATCACTCCAAAGGATTGAGTTGTGTCTTTTTGAATTAATTGGTGAGGAAGTTACCTGGGATGCTCCCTTGATGAGCTGTCAGAACAACAGTTTTAACCCACAAATTATCTATAAAACTCCAAGATTTGACAGAAGGATCTGACACCATTCTGGATTATCTAACCAATTGGATTGAACTTACCTGTGATTGCCTTGCCACAATTAATAAATGTGTTGAAGACTCACGTGTTAGGCATTACTCTATTAAGCATACTGAGAAACCTATGGTCATAGGAACAACCAAGGGTGTTTCCATTCTCTCACATGGTCAGCGTTATACATTAGTGAGAGGTTCGGTGAAATAGATATGTCTGTGAAGATGCAGACTACCTGTACCTGGACAAAAAGACCTTACGAAGCTTCACTGTTCCCTGGGATTGACTTTGAACTAACAAACTAATGAGATTTCCTTTGATATATAAGTTAAAAATAAAAACAAACCAACTTGAAAAGCCAATATAAATGTATCACAAAATGTTGGTGTAATGCCCTTTGATCCACATTGTACAATATTGCCATGTTTTGGACTAAGCTCGAAGGTTAAAGGCTCACTTGTGAAGCACTTCACATTCACACTTCATCAACCAATGTGAGATCTTCTAGTTACCGTGGTTGCTATCAAAGTCGTGCCCATATGTGGTAAAGGAATTTAGATATTTTCCATTAGACTTTCACATAATGATAAATCACTTATCATAGATTCAAGTAGGAATCACTTTTTATAAGTAGACCTTTCTTCCATAAACGATAAATGATTTAACATTGAGTGTAACTTAAGTGAAACTGTAGTGTGCAACTAGCACCTTAGAGCTAGTTAAGTGCGGTTGGCTTGGTCAGCCTCTAGCACTAAGTTGTAGTTTCTTCCTAATGTCAACAATATTCAATTTCCTTTTTCTTTTTAACTTACGTGCAAATATTTTTCTCATGATTTAACTTGGGAAATGCACATCAAGTGAAAAACAACTCCACTTCTCCATGACAACATTCCTCTTGGCTAAATATCATGAACTGGTCATTAATTTAGGCTGATCATCACTCTCTTTTTAGACTCTTACAACTTGTAGGACTAGGAGCCTAGGACAGCTGAAAGTCAAAGTTATACACATTTTTCTAATTTGAGAAGGGTGGCTCTGTTAGCACTCCATGTTTTGCTTCTAGCCCCAAATGATTTTCACTTAAATGAGAACTTTTAGGGCAAAGAATGGTGGGCTAATGGATCTACACTCCAAAAATTTTCTAGGTTTGACACTCAATAACCACCTCTAAATTATCAACAAACATGCATACATAAATGGGAGACAACAAGGATAGGCTATGAGATTTCCCCCTATCCGAAGGATAAATGGGAGACAACAAGAAACAAGGAAAGTCTAATTTTCTTCCACCCAAAAAAAAACCAAAAAAAAGAGAAAAAGTAGAGTAAGAATGCTCTGCTTTTTCTAACAGATTATCATGTTAGAACATATTTAAAAGGCAAATTTCTTTAACACTTCCTATAAAACAAAAAAAATCATTTCTTTAAGATATCGTCAAGACTTAAAAATGTTCAAACTATCATTTTCTAACTCTTTATGATTTCATTCTCAGCTTACATGTACCACAACAACTAGTTTGTGTTGGACCAAACTCAGACTCAGACTGCACCGAACAAATGGTAGCCGAAATGCTGGGGAGATTCTAGTATACTTTCAATCGTTATATAGAGCTATTTTCTTTAAACTCCATAAAACTAAGTACAATTCCAACAATTTTTCTGTACTCATACACCAGATAGAACTTTCAAAACTTTGTCATTGCAAGTAAACATCAATCCCCCAAAAGTGATATCTCAATCACAACAACAACATGAATATTCAAGTATACTTAATTAACAAATCCTCATCCTACAAATTAAATTTTCCATTGAATCTCCAAATGAAACATTGTTGCTTATGGATTCATCAAGCTCCACAAACAAACCTTTGCTCCACACATATGGTTGCTTGCTCCTGTGTCAAGATACCACGTATTCTTGTCTTCACCTTTATTGCCTATATATGCCAATAATACAGTAGATTCTATTTCTTCCCCTTTTCTTTTAACAAAATTAGTATTCTCTTGCACATGGTTAGTATTATTTTCACATTCCCAAGCAAAATGGCCAAAATTTTGACAATTGTAACATTTAACTTGGGATTTGTCATACCTTTGCCTTCGGCTAGCGTAATTTCCTCTTCCACGACCTCTTTTTGTTTGAAAATTGTGACTTCTTTCCTCATTATGATATTTTCCTCTTCTTCCTTGCACTTGGCCACAACCTCGACCATGACCACATCCTTGGCCATGACCACGTCCATATCCACGTCCTTGTCCACCTCCATTTTGCTTTGTTTCATTTCTTCCGTTGAGGTTGAGACTTGTTTGAAGAACTTGCTCCAATGACTCTTTCCTCCTTCTATTGATCTTCTCCTCATGGGCTTCCAATGATCCTATGAGTTCATCAATAGTCATGGAATCAAGATTTTTTGATTCCTCAATGGCTACAACAACGTGGTCAAATTTTGGATCCAATGACCGGAGAATTTTTTCGATCACCCGAACATTATCCAAAGTTTCACCATTTCCTTTCATTTGATTTACTTTGTCATCTCCTTTGAAGGAATTTTGGAGAATCTACCATGCTTCTTTGGTGGTGGTAGCACTTGCAATCTTCTCAAAGTTGGCATCATCTACTCCTTGATAAATGAATGATAAAGCTCTTTTGTCTTTCACCTTGGCATCATGTTTTTGCTTATTGGTAGTTGCACCTATCCCTTCAGTGCCTTTCTCAACAACATACCATACATCTTCTCCACCGAGGTAGGCCTTCATTTGAATGCTCCCACGGCTGTAGTTATCTTTAGTTAACTTAAGGAATGGGACTACCTGGGTGGACATTTTCTCAACATAATCCAGGTTTTGATACCACTTTGTTGAAAGAGGAGGATTATTTGGTTATTTATGTTGAAAGGATTTTTTTTGGGGGAAGTACTTTGTATTACACTTGAACACAAACTTTTTGGGCATAGTACAAAATGACTTAGAACCCATCCATATTTATACTACTCATGGAAGGTTCTAGATTTCCTTACAAGATAATATTTAAGTAGATTCTAGATTTTTACATATGTGACAAATATCTAGAATATTTCTCTAGGCTTTTCTAGACATCTTCTAGAATCAAAGTATTCTAGAACTCTTCTAGAAGTTACATACATCTCTTTCCAAAATATCTTGTTTTGGGTTTTTTGTATTAGGCTTGTATTGGGCTTCATCTATTAATTTTCCTTGGGCTTTATTGTTTTTGAACCAAATCAAGTTTATACTTCAAAAATCCTAATGAGTCAATTAGGTAATTGAGAAGGATGGGGTTTCGTATTTCTGGACTTGGAGGCGATGTATGGCTCTGGGAATGATGATGGGGACACATATGAGTGATAGAAGTGAGAGACGGGAAGAAAGAGAGGAAGGGAGTTATGGGATAGCGGTGAAGATTGTGGAAAGGACAAGGTGAGAGTAAAGATCTTATGTTGAGAGTGAGCATCAACGTTGTATTGTGCATTGTCGGCTGACATGTAAACCCACCCTTTTATCTTTATATATGTATGTAGGTTTATGTAACAAGTTATTATTTCTTTTGGAAATGTTAATATGGAAATTTGAGAAAATAGTAGTTAAAACTTAGTTAGCTTGCAAATATATGAAATTGTTGTAATAGAACTTGTACCAACTAGGTTTGATATACAATAGCATGTTGGATAAGCTTGGGTTGGATTTGGAAAGGTTTGGAATGGGTTTGAAATGAAAACTATAGGAAATAGACAAATTTGGACAGGACCTACCGGTAGTACGTTGTCCAGTGGATCCGAACTACCGGTAGTCAACAGGTAGTAAGTGGCTAGTGGATCTAAACTACCGGTAGTCAACAGGCAGTAAAGGTCCAGTAGATCCGCACTACTGGTAGCTCAATAGGTAGTACGTTGTCCCGTAGATCCAAACTACCGGTAGTCCGACACAAACTACCGGTAAATTGGTAAAAAGTCGGGATTTTTATGTTTTAAAATCTCATTTTCACTCCATTTAATTCCATTCTTTCACACCACTCTCACCCTCACACCTCTTAGAACCCTAATAGAAAGACTTAGAGAGGAATAGAGGAAGAGAAAACAAGAGTTCTAAGGGTAATTCAAGATCAAATCTTCTTGTCCTTCCCACCAAAGTCATGGAGAAAGGTAGGAGGTTTTCTTCCATTCTTTTCCATTGATGCTAGGGCTAATATATATGTATTCTTTGATGCTAAATCTTATATATTTGCTATGAAATCATCTTTTATTGGTCTTCTTGCAATTATTATCATGTTTTACACAAGTTAGGATTGAATACCCATGAAATCTCTTTTTTTGATTTGAAACCCTAGTTTTTGGAGAGTGATAAATTTTCTTCTTAAATTTTATTATTGATTTCGAAACTATAGTGCTTTGTGTTGAGTAATAAAATGATCTTGTGGTGATCTCTTGTATTTTTCTCAATTGGTTTTGGAATTGTCAGATGATAACTTTGGGGATTTTTGAAATATGCTTGTAAATTGAGAAATTGAGTTTGGTATTGTATCTCTCATGAGTGTGGGAGGACCATGGGTTGCCTTTGATAAGATATCATAGAGTGTGTAGACATTATTCATACTCTGTGTGGGTTTGAACTTTTTCTACCACTCGTAGTTGGGTTAGTGCTTTGGTAAGACTAAACCGCTATTGCTCACGGGTATCGAAGTGAAGGGTTAGTAGACTAATGCCTGGGTTGGATACGTCACTGTCATTGGTATGGTATACGCCCTTCATAAAGGTTGGATATCTTTGAGAAGATTTGGGTGTGTGTGTGTGGGCTAGATGTTACTAAATGCGTTGATTCATGTGGATGCCTTACATCATGTTTGAGATACATGTATATATTGTTGTGAAATGTTCAAATTATAAGTTATTGTTTATTCTACTAGAAATGTTTTCTACAAGAATCTTGGGAAGTATGGGATTCCGCAAGAACTTGTGAGAAACGGTTTATGGTGAAATGAATTTTTAATTGTATATTGAGTTCTTTTATTCATTAAATTATTGTTGTTATTTAAACTTGAGATCTGTTTCAAATGTCCCTATTTTCTTCAAAAGTTATATATGTTATTTGTAAAATGAGACCGACCATTTTATATGCTTTTCTAAACCTTGTTCGAGTTTGGGAGGAATGTTGCTACAGAGCTTAGTGCTCACCCCCTACAAACTATATTTTTCAGATTATGTACTGGAGGACGAGTTGAGAGTAGATGAACCAGAACACTGGGAGACTCCGATAGACGGGAGCGTGAATCCCGAGGTGGTCGCTTAGAGTGACACTTTCTTTTGTTCTAGACTAGGAAATTCATTTTGAAAATATTGTGAAGTCTAGACGTTTTTGTAATTCTGTTGCAAGTTTAAATGTGATTCTTTTGGGGATGTATTGGTCATGGTTGGCCTATTCTTTTGGGATACTATTATAAATGATATATTTTATGAATGAAATGTTCTTTAATGATGGATTTATTTAGTTGTTCTCATGATGTGAATGATTTTTAGTTTGTAATGCTGCCCAGGGTGGATTTTGGGGCATTACATGACAACGTTGTTTTCGGCATCTCAGCCTGTCTATCTGCATCATGTCGTGTAAAATACAGAGTGGGAGAGATAGACATAAAAATATAAAGAAAATGAATAAAATTGAGAAATTAATAATGGTTAAGCGCACTGTTTTAAAATTGGAACCAATCTGGCGGGTTGATCCGAGAACCTAGTGAACCGGTCCAGTTCAGCAATTGGATCGTTCAAGCATCAAATCCGCTTAGAAACCATTAAATCGGCCAATTTTTAGTTAAACTCGTTAAGCCGGACGATTTTGATAAAATCGGACGAGTGGTTTAAATCTATAAAAACCCATCGTTTTGGGCATTTTTGCACTAATCGCTTTCTTTACTTTCTCTCATACTACCATGAAGCTGACTCGCTAATCTTTGATGATCATCTCCAGTGATCACATCTTAGTTACTACTTTGGCATCTCATCTCATCTCCATCTCTCTGTCTACCAGGCACCACATTGGATAGGAGTCCACTAATCTCAATCATCACCTATAGGAGATTATCCCTAACATTCTTTGATTCTTTGGCTTGTTTTCTCATCCTTTAATAGTCTCACAGTCATAGCAACAAATCTGATCGTTTGGCAGCAATATCCAGCAGGTATGCTTTCTCATCTCTTTGATTTTTTTCTCTATTTGGACCAATACTTCTGTAGTCGAAAGTTGAAATTGAAATCAATTGGAATGTGATCTACACCGACTTGGGAATTTGAGTTGGAATCTGTTGGAATTCTATTATTCTTTAATTTTTTTTCACTTGATTTCGATCTCAATAGGGATGTCAAGTTGAGTAGATCATTCAATTTGTAGTGTGGAGGTTTTAGTTATTGTTATTAATGTACTTAGGTTTTGTGGACGTCAAGTTGAATTCGATCTAATTTATGTGTTGGTTTTGCATTTGGAAGATTGGTTCTAGTTTATGTTGAATGCAAATCTGCATGAGTTTTGTATTTGTATGAGTGCAATTCTCTATGAAAAATATGAATAAAATTAAGATCAGACGGACTCAAATAAGCTCATTCAACAGTCACCAACCTCCGTCTTAAAATCATTCACATTGCACTGTGTTTTTAGGCACGAGTTACCCTAATAATAAAAATATTTTACAATGGATA